GGCCAGCCACACGACCGCAGTCCACGACAAACATACTGCGGGTGATGGAGGAGGGGGGGGGGACAGGGTTCAAGAAGCAAGGGCCCAAAACCAAGGGAGGAAATCAACCACTCACGCCGCCCATGCGTAATTGGAATGGTGGGACGGGCAGTTGGAAGTCATGACGCAACTTAAAAGGCCCAACTTTAATGACGGAACTAAAAACAAAGGCACAACAAACGTACATCCGGTCCCATCATGTTGTTGGCCGTCTCCGACATGTTGGACGTGACCTGGTCTTGGACGACGTTGCCGCGGGTAGCGTACATCGTCCACTCGTGGCGGGTTTGCAGGCGGATGTACTTCCCAAGTGCCCCCCCCGGGTGAGCACACGGGCGGTGTGCTCCCGGCACTTGCCTGTGGGGTGAGCATCCTTGTCCTGTGTAATATATATGCATGATGGCTACGCGCGTTCCTGGGATAACATGGTACCCAGTCTCAACACCACAGACCGCTAAGGGCGGCAGTGCACACTAGCACGAAATACCGAGTTTGGAGCCTAGCTAGGCCAAGTGTTGGCTCGCGGCGATGGTCATCGGACACGGTAGCCGAGAGAGCGGCGAGAGAGAGGGTATAGCCGAGAAAGCGGCGAGAGCGGGAGTAGCCGAGAGAGCGGCGAGAGAGAGGGTATAGCCAAGAAACGAGGCCAGAGAGGACGGTAGCCGAGAAAGCGGCGATGACGAGAGAAATTGAGCGAGAGTTAGAAAAACAAGTAGAGAATATGAAGCGGGAAGCCGAGAGAGCAGCCGGGGAANAATTCGAGGAGGCAGAGAAGAGGAGTTCAGCGGAGGAAGCCGCGAGAAGGAGAGTGGGTGATGCCGGGTATGCAGCAGGTAACATGAGGATAGGCGGCGCTGGCCATACGCCTGGGTACCATAGCAGGGATGGAGCTGCCGGAGGGGCGGCTAGTTTTGGAGCCGGGGGGACGGCTAGTTTTTTCGATGATCGGGAGCAGCAGCAGCGTGACCGCGATTACGTGCGGAAGGACCTGAAGCCACCGGTATACGACGGCAACTTCCCACTGTTCAAGTCGCTGTTCGAGCTCTTCCTCGCCCGCGAAGATCTATCACACACACTCGCCAAGCCGGCGAGTCCAGACCAACGCATCTGGCTCCTCAACGGGCTGCCAAGGAGCGAACGCGTCTGCNGGAGAGTTAGAAGAACAAGTGGAGAATATGAAGCGAGAAGCCGAGAGAGCAGCCGGGGAAGCGGCAGCCAAGATGGCGGACCTGCAGAGGAGATTCGAGGAGGCAGAGGAGAGGAGTTCAGCGGAGGAAGCCGCGAGAAGGAGAGTGGGTGATGCCGGGTATGCGGCAGGTAACATGAGGATAGGCGGCGCTGGCCATACGCCTGGGTACCATAGCAGGGATGGAGCTGCCGGAGGGGCGGCTAGTTTTGGAGCCGGGGGGACGGCTAGTTTTTTCGATGATCGGGAGCAGCAGCAGCGTGACCGCGATTACGTGCGGAAGGACCTGAAGCCACCGGTATACGACGGCAACTTCCCACTGTTCAAGTCGCTGTTCGAGCTCTTCCTCGCCCGCGAAGATCTATCACACACACTCGCCAAGCCGGCGAGTCCAGACCAACGCATCTGGCTCCTCAACGGGCTGCCAAGGAGCGAACGCGTCTGCTTGCACGGTGAGCGTCGTGTGCGCGATCATGAGTATGCCTTTGAGTACTTGATGCGCGCGCCACGAAGGGGGCAAACTTTCAGGCTAGAATCCTTGCCGTTGGGACCGTGTACAAAGTAGCAGCGTTTAGATAGGCCGCAGGTCTAATGTGCGGCAACCGCAGGTTGCCGCAACTACACGCCGAAGGCGTGTTGCGGCACTTGAGCCCCCCGCAGGGGCCCCCCGGGAGGGCCCCCGGGGAGCGGAGGCGAAAAATTTGACGGTATTCGACGCATATCTTGTACCAGAAATCACTCAAAAACTCAATATTTATTGTAGTTGTTGGGGAAAATTGTTAATATCACGATAAATTATTCGACGAATTTCTGGCCAAAACTCATGAAAAAAGAACGCTTTGTTATCACAAGCCATGTGGTTTGCTCAACCAGACCAGACCAGGCGTTTCCATAGAATAGTTACTATTTCTTCTTACGCATTTATCCAAGGCCCAAGGCCATACTAGAACACAAAGAAAGTAGCTGCTCACAGCTCCTACTACTACCCCGTCCATAGAGAGACATCGCGCACATAAGACAAACAAACGGAATTACTCCGGACCCTCCGGACCCCAAAGCCCAAAGCAATGGACAACTAAATGAACCGTATCCCCCGACTCAAGATTTACTTTGGAAGAGGCAAACCATCTTGATCACGCTCTATCCTTTCAACGCCTACAACGTGTTTGGCGGTCGAAAAAGCACAGCCGCCTGATTGAGAGAGAACAGGAGGTGTTGACGCCGCATCAAAAGCTTGAGGCGTGGGACCGCAAGACGGTTCCGGCTACTACTGGTCTTGATCCTATTCTGGGCGGAGAACCCGCGCTCGCATTCGATCGACGCGAGCGGCTGCACGATCTAGTCTAAATCTTGGCGAGTTTGTCACGTTGCGGTACCTATAGCCCCATCCAAACAGACTGCGCTAGCTACACTCATTTTCTAACGCAGTAGTTCTCTCTTCTGTTCCTGGAGGCTTGATATTTCGTAGCGTGTCCACGTGGCGCGTGGCGCGCTGCGTGCGGGTCTGCTACGTAGCTCCGTCCAGCTGTGCCACGCTTGTTTTCAGCGCCCAAGCGGCATTCAATAAGGGGCACCGTGGTCGAAAAACAGGGGCAGCGTGGTTGACTTCTTTTGAAATGATTAATAACCAGAAACGGGTATACCCGGGTCTTTATCACCACTTTAGGGTACAGTTAGAAATCAACACGCTTGCACCCCCCGGCTGTGAGCTGATTGTCCGAAAAACCATTGTATGTACCCATTTCTGAAGAAACCTCCATCAGGTACAACTTCCGCTGGAATTAGGACCCTCTGGTGTGACCGATATTGGTTACTGGTGTATACTTGGAAGAGGTTAATTTTGTACCCAGAAATGGTCATATAATCCCGGCGCCCAACGCTCTAGCAAAAAACCCGAAGAAAAAACGTGTGCCGCACATACCGTGTACCACACATACATAACCATCACAATCAAACCACCAACAACGCTCGCTCGTTCATCGTTCATGGGCACCGGCTCCATAGGATACCGGCCCTTCTCAACAGAGGGTCGGACTCGCTTGACGCGCCTGTACTTCAGTGTGGTACTTACTAAGCAGTAAAAGCACAGAGAGAGAGAGAGGCACACAGAGAGAGAGAAAAACGGGCACGACCTGCCTCGTGCATCATGCTTCCGAGGCACAAGTGTTCAGAACCTTGTGACACTTCCATCGAATTACCCATCCTGGCCACAAGAGGTTCCCAGTTGAGGGTAAATTCTGTGGGTGGAGAGTGTTAAGGAGGACCCGATTCGCAGGGTATCCGTCGATTGACTTGTCAGGATCGATTCCAAGAGAGAGGTGTTCTCAGGACTGACACATATTGTATCCATGGGAAAATATCCAAGTCAGGAGAAAAAGTGTGCACCCAAGGAGATTCGAACCAGTATCCAGCTAACGGCACATGTCGCAGAGGTGTACCGATTCAGGTAACGTCAATCGACGGATACGCTGCGAATCGGGTCCTCCTAAGCACAGGACACACAGGACACACAGAGAGAGAGCGGTTTTTTATTGGTTTCGCCGCGATCTACGCCGGATGCTGTCGGAGATTGGTGTCGTCTTGATTTCCACCTGTACAGTACCCTGAAATAAATGGTGAGTTGTTTCTCTTTACTCCTCTTTTGAAATTGTGCATCTTCTCGTGCAACCATTTCCTCGCTAAACGGCGACAAAGAAGGGCCCAAAACAAATTTCTCGGCTTTACAGAGAGCAAACTAGGGCCCAATCACAGAATATGGCGTCCTGCAGCAGCGGAGGTGGCGGTGCTGCTGTAGCTCGTAGACTTTGTAGTCTACCACAGAGGTTACACTGCTGTCACCGCTCTATCACAGAGAGAGGTTGGTCTACACTGCTGTGAGATCGTTAGGCCCGAGCGAGCTTTGGAAAGAGAAATAATGTAGATAGATGTTCTTATCAACTAACTCCCTGGTCAGGCTTTCTTTGATGGGTGCTAGATGAGAGTGAGCACAAGGGGCGAAGGCGCGCTTGTGTCTCATCTCAACAACAAAACAAAAACAAAAAACAAGCAGCAAAAACACAGCAGGTTCCGAGGGTCTCCGGAGTA